TAGAGTAATAGACATTGGGGCGAGAGGGAAAACAAAAGTGTTATACTCAGAAGACCAAAAACTCAAAGCAATTGGAAAAAGCACTGGGTCATAAGTTGGGGGATAAATGGTAATTTTTAATAGGTCCAGAATATTAGCACGATCAAAAATTACTTTGCTGGGACCGTGATTAACCAAACGTGCATGCCATCTACGAAAACTGGGATCAGTTTTGGGCCAAGTACGAATACCTTTCTCGCGGATTGGCTTCAATGGCAGGGAGTTAAGAAATGAAGAGTCTTCAGTGCAAGGGAATAGTTGATTCACTGTCGCTTGCCCGACTACTTCAACATCATTGAATGATGAACCTAGATAAAACTCATGAAGGTCAGGGTTGGCTTGTGAAAGATAGTGTGATTCTATATATGGCCTAGCAAGGAGGTTTTGGAAATCCTCAANAGGGTTGGCTTGTGAAAGGAAGTTTAAATTTATGTACGATCTAGTAAGAAGGTTTTGGAAATCCTCAAAACTGAAAGAATCATCGGAATGAGTTTGTGAAGTCGCCATTTGATGCAAAGTACAGACGTTGTGAAGGATTCTTGAGAAGCGTAGTAAGGAAGCAAGACAATGAACAGTGACCTTTATAGAACGCACGATGTAAAGACGTGAAGATAATGGCACAATAAAGTGGCGTGTCTTTTGGGTTTATAGGGTTGTGTAACGATTACACCTTTTCAGATTATAGAAGGGTTACGGCCAAAAGGAAATAATGATTAAAATTCTTAGGAATTTCAAGTATTGCCGAAAAATACATAAGAAGAATATAGCAAAGATTAATAAATAGTATTAATTCTGCCATATTGGGGGTAATTGTTGACATACGAAAAGTGTAGCACAAATTGAATAGTCCAAGGGATGAAGCCCAGTTAGGAAATCCAAGATGAAGGCTCAAATAAGACCATTAATGAATGTAGTGGAAGCCCACAAACAAGTTTCCATCATCGCCCAAGCTTGCAAGATGCCCAGGATTTGAGCGAATGGAGTGCCTTACAGTTGCCCAAAGCGATGATCCCGTTCTCGCCTAAACCTTCGAATTGCCTAGGATCTTAGCAAACATAAGGTATTATGGTTATCCAGTACGGTAATTATTGAAGCAGTTATTGAGCAACCTATCACACCTTACGATCCAAAAATCCCAGTTGTATGCAGTTAAACGACAAGAGTAATGACAACAATTAGAGACGGCAGATCCATGACAAGTCAGCCATCATGAAGAAAGTTGGTAGTTATATAGCACTAAGCAGTTTTCAAGCAGTTTTTCACAAAGAAACTATTAATGGAATATCAAAAGGAAAGAAAGACACAGAGAAATGACTCCAAATCAAACACTCTCAACAGAGAATATGTAATTTTAATTTCTTAGTTTATCTTTAAAACACTTCTTTTTAGTACTCGTGTACTTGCGCCCCTTGAAGGCATTCTGTTTATATCCAATTGTAATCTTCACCAATAAAGCACCCCTTTTTGAGACTTTGTCTCAAGAGGTCTGTTCTTTCCACAATCGTCTGAACCTTTTTTAATTGTTAGCGATAATCTGTGCGAAACAAAAATCCAGAGTCAACTACAATTGCTTAGCTTAATGCTTGCTGATGACTTCAAATGCTACCAACATGAAAAGAACGAGGAAACGATATGCCTTTACAACTACTCACAAAAAAATAACTAATGCGGAGCAATTAGAAGGGAAAATCATAAATCAATAAGAAAAGAGAAGAATTAAGAAGGATTTACGAAAATGCATTTAATTTTCAACTCCAGTATTAGGTTTTCGCAAGCGAGTACAATCCAGAAGCGTTTTTCGATTTTGCACATCAAACTTTTGACATCAAATTCTACCGTTTAGGGGTCAGTTTTAACATTTTTCTATTTTGAGTTGGTTTAAGGATATTTTCTTCATTTTTACAACTTTTTGACTTTATTCAAACTTGTCTA